GCAGGCTCAGTGTGAAGGCCAAGGTCAATCCCCCAGTACCACTAAAAAAAAAAAAAAAAAAAAAAAAAATACCGCAGGAAGCTTCTAGAAGCCACATGATTCTGAGGCAGCTCTGGATTCTCTGCTCCTCTTTCACCATGGACTTGACAGTTTGCTGCTAGACTGGATGTAGCTCAGTGGCTGATCGCTGGCCTAGCATGCATGCAGTCTGGCTTCGCCCCTCAGCGTGATACCTGCTTGTGGCCCCTCCTGCTGCTCAGATTGTCCTCTGTTGGGCCAGATATGGCTTCGTGTTGGCTCCTGGGTCCTTGGCATCAGGCTCCTCTGTCTCTGACCTTCTCTGTCCCCGTCCAGCTCAGAGGCCCTGTTTCTTTCAGTGGAGAATAGGATTTAGAAGCCAAGATCTCGGCAAGAAATGTACTCTTTATAAACCTGAAGGAGACATGATTTTTTATGTTTTCACCATAGCTGGAGGCCTTTTCATGAAGTCAGTTAGTGACAGCCCTCAGGTCACTTGGGACTTGAGTCAGCTGGGATCATCGAGGATGTGCCAGTCTCAGCTCTCTTGGCTGAGGCTGACTAGGTACTCAGGGGTACCCAGCTGCCTCGCTGCCCTCTTTCCGACCCCAGATGCCAGCTGCCCCTCCCTGGCTGTGGTGACCCAAACAGACACTGCCCAGCACCCCTCTAGGTGGAAAATCACCCTCCATTAAAAACCCCTGGGTGTTCTCTGAGATTATGTGGAAAACTTCCTGGAACAAACCAGGATGTCTGAGTCCTGGTGTGACACGGTATCTTCCTGCCTCAGTCTCCCCATGTGTTCAGTGGTGTTTAATGGCTACACTATATAGCTGTGACCTTTAAGGCAGCCCCGGGAGAAAGTGGAGCACTGATGTGGCGGCGTGTTGCAATTTCCCGAGCGGGGCTGAATCTCAATGATCTGACCGGGGTCGTGAAGGTGCTAGAAGTCCCCTAAGCCTACGGGGACCCTTCCAGTTGTTTAAGATCTTTCATTTTACTGTCACCCAGAAAAAGTCCCATTTAATTCATTTCAGATGCTGAGTGAGTCGTCGTGCGTCGTGAATCAAGACATCACCCCAGAGCTAATCAAATGAATCATAAGGACAAACAGGAGCTTTTAACCCTGTGAATCAGTGACTAAAACAGTACATTCCACTTTCAGAAAAAAAATTCAAGATTAAGAAATAGCCTAGATCACTGCTTGTGTAATCCATGTGTCAGCAAGTGAGACAAAGTGCAGGACCTCGGGGGCAGTGTGTGTGGCCTGGCCAGGCAGACACAGGTGGGGGAAGGGCTCCAGGAGGAGAAAGTCCACTACGTGGGTTCACTACGCTCCACACTGTCACCCACTCTGTGTCCTCCAAGCTTCAAGGGCATCGCAGGCTCAGTGTAGTAACTGCCTGCCGTGGTTCATCCCCAAAGGATCCTGTGGCAGGAGGCAGGTCATTGTTAGTATGGCATTATTAGGGATTGTGGATCTGGAACAGATTTAGGGGATGTGATCGAAACATACAGTGATTGTTTAAAGATGAATTTAAATGTTCATTATGGTGAAGGACATACCCCTTTCCCTTTTGTGAGAATTCCACATCCAGCCGGTGAAGCTTCCTCGGGATCAGGGTCAGTGTCCTTTGCTTGTCACCTGAGCGTCAAGCCATCCATGTCCTCTGAAGATACCGGCTGGCCTCTCCCGTGTCCACTGTCTCAGAGCAGCTGGGATGCGCAGACCTACAGCAGTGCTAGTAACAGCTGTCGAGACGCACCTCAGACCGCAGGATCATAGGAGAGGCGGCAAGAGCTCTCTGGGGTGACTGATGGAGGCCCAGCCAGGGAGGGACGCCAGACTGGGACTAGGGACTGCTGAGACCTGCAGCCACAGGGAGGACGGAACTGTTAGCAGAGCACCTCGGTGCCACCCTACGCCCAGCAACACGCTACCAAGGGGGAGAAGAAACCTCAGTGCATTCAGCTCCACCTTGGGACCCCTAAAAGCTCTCTCCCCAGCCAGCCGTGGTAATGCACACCCAGCACCCAAGAGACTGAGGCAGGAGGGTTTAAGTTTGAGGCCACGCTGCACAACTTAGTGGTTTAGCAAGACCGTTAATAGCTCATGGTACAGCACCCCACGCAGATCCTCAGTACTTGAAGGAAGAGAACAGGTCTCCATCCTCTGCTCCTCTTCCAAGCAGCCACAGGTGGGTGACTCAAAACTGCTCCCCCCAAGGTACATCCCTCAGAGTATCCTGGCACCACATGCGGGGCGGCCCATTAGCTTGGGGCCTCTGCCAACCCGGGCAGCAAAAGCCCCATGCTGACCCCCGGTGCTGGGTAGTGGCACCACCTCTCCCCATCTTGGGACAAAGCTTCCCACTCCCTCCACCTCGCCTTCCTAACCCGAAACACACTTGCAGTCACTTTAGAAACTGAAAAAGAACTGCTTTGGTCCCAAACCTCCGAGAGGCACCACCATAACTGTCTCCTCCCATTCACAACCAGACTCTGAGAAAACACCTGCCTCTGTGCCCTGGGGCTGCCTGCACACCGAGCTGGCCCGGGCCTCCAAGGGGGACAGGGCCATGGGGCACATGTGGCAGGCTCATCAGGGAAACTGAGATGGTAAAAGGGAACTTTTCGAAGTCCAGGGAAGAACACCCGGCCCAGGGGTGTGTGGACGCCTCCTCGCGTGCCCTCACTCCTGCCTCGGGTCCTTACTGAGCACTGGGTTGGTATGCACTCTGCTCTGTAAATGACACAGACTGGTTTGCCGTGGCCCCCTCGGGTCTCAGATGTCCCCGGGTGAGGACCATGAAGGGTGGTGAGAAGGTAAAGAAATAGACAAAGTACAGAAAGCTGGAGTCAGGCGGAGCCCTCCTGGGGGAGGAAAGGACCTGCCCAGCAGCTGCAGCCCTGTATTTATTTATTTATTTATTTTTAAATTTTATTTTGAAAGTATACAACAGAACAAGTCAGAATAAAGCCAACTAAGATCGTACAGTGATATTGGTACAGAACTTCACAGCGGGTTACCGGGATAACAGTAATAGGTATCACAGTATATTTTGTTATCTTTATAATAGTTGTTCTTTCAATCACGTATATCAAAATGAGTGAAATATAGAACACTATAGAACTTATCAAAACAGAATATTGAATAGAGCATTACCATTAATCAGAAAAGAGCAAAACAGTAATAAAAATATTTGCCTTCAAAGAAACGGTAGAAGGAAGTCCCCCTTATTTGCTATGGTCAACCTACCAGGAGACGCTCAGATTTCTGGTTCCCATTTGCTAATGGGCGGGGGAGAGAAGGAGGATAGGGGAAGTGGGATATTTGACTCTAGGCCACTAGCAGTAGGTTCACTATTGCTAAGCAGGGAGGGAGGATGGTCATTTCTTTTTTTGGTCTTTTTCCTTTTTATGGGTACCAGGAATTGAACTCACGACTGCCTGCTTGCAAGGCAGGTGCTTATGCCACTGAGCTAAATCCCCAGCCCCGGTCATTGGTTTTCACAGTGTCCTCAGTTCCAACATGGCACGGATCTCAGGAGACACTGCTGGTTCTCCCCCTGGAAGGGCTGCAGTCTGCCACCCTGCCTCCACTTACCAGGGAGGGGAGGTGCTAGCTTGGCTTCCCAGAGTCCTAAGTTCCAACATTAGCCCTGTATTTATACACCTGGAGGTTGCTGACTACTTCAACCCCTCCGCCTGGCGACTGGTTGGCCTGGCTGGCCTGGGCACCTTGTGTTTCCCCGAGCTGGGACAGCTTGTTCCTGTGGCTCGCCTGGGGCTCTCCATGTTCTCAGGGCTGGCCCTGCTTTCACAGCTCCCCATAGTAGCTCACTCACACATCCGGGACTTGTGCGGGAGGGAACAGCACAGTGTGAATTGGGATCTGATCTCCCCTGCAAGGCCAGAGGAGAGATTTGGGGTTGAGATGTTGTGGATGAGCAAGAATCAGCCAGTCCACGAAGGAAAGAGCTGGATGACAGAGGCCCAGGACGGGTCCCAGACGTGGGGAGCGCAGGGGAAGGGAGAAGAACTGGAGGGAATCCATTTCCATCTCTGCCGTGTCCTCCCCTGCCTCATCCTAGGGGCTCTCAGCACCTCTGTCCCCCTGGACCCTGCGCTGCGTGGCCTGGCGCTTGCCTGTCCCTCCTGCATCCCCAGCGTGTGTCCCACAGAGGTCACTGCAGCCGGATGCACCCTCTGCCTTGTCTTTCCTGAAATCACCACGGAGGGCTGCTGCGGGGTGTTACTTCCAGAATCCCAGCCCCAGAAGCCTCCCCGAGCCCCCCTGAGATCTGCTTTCCCTGGGATCACTGATTACCATTATGTGGGTTCCCTGTCACCGTCACCAACACGGCAGATTGTAGGGTTAGAAAATATAACTCTCACTTGGGTAGAAAAAAATATAGATATAATACAAATTGTTCTCCCCTCCCCAACTTATTTAAAAGGACTCAGCTAAGACAAGGGCCCTGAACAGAGCCTAAGTGTTTGACCGGGCTGTGAAAACGGTGCAGCTGGCAGATCGTGCGGCCTTTCTTTATGCCGATAAGGAAATCCAGCAAAGAGCTCTGATTAGCTGACTGAGTTGAAGCAAGTTCCCAGGAGCACTGAGTTTAACTCTTCCCTGTTCTGCATCCCGGACGCAACTTCCTCCTTCATAGTCCCCCCACTCCACAGGCTGGGAGTGTCCAGCCTGGACCATGCGGATGCAGGGGGCTTCGTGCACGCCGCAGCGCCCATCTGCAATGGCACCCTCAACTTCCTACTCTGAGCCGCCTGCACGCCTGGAACGGGCATTCTCACGCGAAACTGGGTGACATAAGACATACGCGCATCAAAAAAGGGGGGGGGCTGGGGATTTAGCTCAGTGGCATAAGCACCTGCCTTGCAAGCAGGCGGTCGTAAGTTCGATCCCTGGTACTGATAAAAAGGGGGAAAAAAAAAAAAAAAGACATACGCGCATCGTGCTCAACCAATATCGGGTGTGCTTACATTTTAAGACTTTATTACCGTACAAGACACATTGCTGTTCATCTCCTCAAAATACTCCCCTCCCTCATCTTATCCCCTCATTCTGCACTCTCCGAAGCAGCTCTGAAAGTCCTCTCTCACCAGTGTCTGAAGTTGTGCTCAATGTGCCGGCTGGACTAAAACCATTTCCCTTTTGTGGTTATTTTGACTTTGGGGAAGGGCCAGAGTCATACCATAGCAGATCTGGCCAGTGCGGTAGGCAAGGACGGACTGTCGCGTGTGAACGTGGGCCTTTCTATCGCGTGGCACTCGGCAGCAGCACTCACTGCAAAGACACTCAGCAAAGAGGACTTCAGAGCTGTTCGGAAACTGGCAAGAACCACGGGGTGAGTGTGTTAGAGGAGAGAAGGAAGACTGGAGGGCTCTCATGACAATGTGTCTTACTGTAGTACGTTTTTAAAATTTACACACACCTATTTTCCAGTCACCCCTGTATCTGTCTTCTGAAGTAGCAAATAACATCATGAACTATTTTTCTTTCCCTCCTTTTCTTTGTCCTGTCTCTCTGTCTCTCTCTGTCTCTGTCTCTCTCTGTCTCTGTCTCTCTCTGTCTCTCTCTCTCTCTGTCTCTCTCTCTCTCTCTCTCTCTCTCTCTCTCTCTCTCTCTCTCTCTCGGTCTCTCTCTGTATTTACTCTGAGAATTTCTGAGCAGGGAGGAAGTGGTTCAATCTGCTCCTCTCAGCAGCTGCTGGTTTTTAGAATAAAGAAGAGCCTCTGCCTCACGTCTGATTCAGATGCAATGCGAGGCATACTTTTATCCACAACATCCAAATTTAAACACTCCTCTTCTCTCCTGCAAATCCTCTTCGTCCTTAATCCTCTTCCTCCATAATAGTGTAGGAAAGAACTTAGCTTTACAAGATGTTTTGGTTAGATCTGCAGGAGGAGCGTAAGTGATAGTTAAGGGACTTTGAGGAGGGGACAAGCTGACGTGGACACCTACCTGACTACAGCTTGGAACCTTCTGTGTGACGGGGACACCCAGGTCAGAAGGGCCACATGCTGGGGCATGTGTGTGTGTGTGTGTGTGTGTGTGTGTGTGTGTGTGTGTCTTTTTTAGACAGGGTCTCCTATGTACTTCAGGCTGGCCTTGAGTCATTTTCTAGCCCAGTCTGGTTTTGAATTTGCAGTGATCCTCTTGCCTCAGATTCCCAAATGCTGGGATTACAGGCATGCATCGCCATGCCAGCTATTATTTGGATTTTTGAACCAAAATCTATTAGCCCAGACTGGCCTCAAATTCATGATCCCCCTGTTTTGGCCTCCTGAGTGCTGGGATTACAGGCATGCATGAATACACCCAGCAGGGTTACTAATTTCATTAATATTTTCAAAAGTCTAAATTTTTATTTTCTTTGTTTTTGTTGGTTTTCTATGTCTGCTCCTCTTTTTATTATTTCTCTTTTTCTGGTCACTCTGAATTTAAATTGTTCTTTTTCTAGCTATTTAAGGTGAAAAATTGGACCACTGAGACTTTTTCTTTTAGAATATAAGCAATGAAGACTATAAGTTTCCCTGTAAATTAGCTTTACCTGCATCCCATATTTTCTTATGTTATCATTATCTTTTAGTGCAAGATATTTTTATTCATTCATTCTTTCTTTTTGGTGTTTTCGACAGAGTCTCAGCATGTAGTCCAGGCTGATCTTGAACTCACTGTGTAGTCCAGGCTGTCCGCAGACTCCTTGGTGATCCTCCTGCCTCTGCCTCCAGGGTGCTCAGATTGCAGGGGTACACTACCACATCCGGGTAGTGCAATATATTTAAATCTTCTTTGGGCTGTGAGTTGGCTTGTATGCTGTCTAACTTTCAGACACATGGGACCCTATCACAGGCCTCATGTGGGGCTTTCCGAATACATGGATTTCTTTACGTTACTAAATATAACTTCATGGTGGTCAGAGAACATAACCTATTAGGTGTCAGCTTTATAATACATATTGATTTATTTATAGTCCAGCACACAGTCTCCCATGGCAAATGTCCCGTGTGTCTTTGAAAAGTGCATTCTGCAATTATTGGACCTAGTGTTTCCTAAGTGTGACCAGGGTCAGGATAGTTACCAAGTCTTCTATGTATCCTTACTGGTTCTTCCTTTCTTGCTCTATCTGTAGGTTTGCCTAGTTATCTGTTTAGTTCTGTTAGTTTTTGGCTCATATATTCAGTGAAGTTTTGGTTTCATTTTTTGTAGTGCTAGGAATGGAGCCCTGGGCCTTGTGCGTGTGAGGCCTGTGTTTTATCCTGAGTTGCATCCCCAGCACCTTTCCTCTGCTATGGACTGAATCATAGCCTCCCACAAAAGTTTTATCTTAGGGGCTGGGGATTTAGCTCAGCAGCATAGGCGCCTGCCTTGCAAGCAGGCAGTCATGAGTTTGATCCCCGGTACCAGTAAAAAAAAAAAAAAAAAGTTTTATTTTGCGGTCCTAACCCCAAGCACTTTGGGGCATGATCGTACTGAAGATAGATTCTTGACACTGGTAATTAGGTAAAAATGAGGTCATAGGGTGAGGTTTAGTACAGTACTACTGCTCTCCTTAGAACAGGAAATCTTGACACAGAAACCAACAGAGGGAAGATAATGTGAAGTCACAGGGAGAAGATCAATTTGGAAAGAACAGCCCTGCTAACTTCATTGTCTCAAAGCTCCAAACTTCAAAACTATGAGAAAATTAATTTTCATTGATGAAGCCACCCAGTCTGTAGCACGTTGTCATAGCCACCCTGGAATACTAATACAGCTATAAGTGTACACATTTAGAACTGTTTGGTCCATAGACAAAAAAAAAAAAAAAAGCTGGGCACGGTGGCTCACGCCTGTGGTCCCAGCACTAGGGAGGCCGAGGCAGGAGGATCATTGCAAGTTCAAGACCAGCCTGGGCTACAAAGTGAGCTCAAGGCCAGCCTGAACTGCATAGGGAGACTCTGTCTCGAAAAGAAAAGAGAAAAGGAAAGGAAAGAAAAGAAAAAGAAAGAATTGTTTGGCCTTCTTGGTGACTTGGCCCTTTTATCTGTATGAATTTTTCTCCTTCTATCTATAGTACCCCTAATCTTAAACTTGCTTTATTGGATCTTAATATAACCATACCAGCTTTCATATTTGTTCCTGTGCTTTCTGTATTTGTTCTCACTATCTGTACATTTCAGCTGCATTATGTATATATTTATTTCCCTCTCCTTTTACTTTCATTTAATCTTCCTCTCTATATTTAAAGTAAGTCTCTTAAGATAAAGTAGATTTGGGTTATTTTTATCCAGTTTGATAATCTCTCTCCTTTAACTGAAATGTCAAATCCATTTATAGCTAATGTAATGACTGATATGCTTGAATTAATCTGCCCATCCCACTATTTATTTTCTGCTTCTCCCACCTGTTTCTTGTTCTTTATTTTTCCTTTGCTGCCTTCAATTAATTGAATATTTTTAGTAGCCTATTCTATTTCCTCTATTAGTTTTTTTAGCTCCAACTTTTTATATGACATTGAAAGTCTAGCTTTAGGTGATTATAAGATTCACCCTTCATGTATCACATTCTGCTTAGATCAGTTTATACCAATTACTATATTTATAACTTACAAAAGAGTAATTCCACCTACTCCATCTTTGTGCCGTTACGTCGGGTATTTTACCTTTACACTTTTTTGTACTGGGGGCCGAACCGAGGCCTTCCCACTGAGCTGCATCTCTAGTCATTTTATTTCATTTTAGGTTTATCGTAGGTCTCACTCTGTCACTAAGTCACCCAAGGATCAAATTTGTGATCTTCCTGCCTCAGCCTCCCAAAGTGCTGGGAGTACAGTCATGTGCCACCACACCTAGCCTTTTACACTCATAAACCTATAGTAAATAATTGTTATTTTTCCTTGCAATAGTCAGTGTTCTTTTAAAGTAATTACAGAAAAAGTAACAAATATACATGGTCTTTTGTATCTACTCGTCGGTAAACTTTTCATTCCTCCTGTAGTTCTGGGTTTTTTTCTGGTACCTGCTCTTCAGCTGATGAATAACCCTTGGCACTTCTTGCAGCACAGGTCTGATGAGGATGAATCTTTTTGCCTTCTGTTTATCTGTAAGTGCCTGTTCTTCGTGTTGTAACTTCCAGAACTGTGGCTGCACGTGAGCAGAGCCAACAAGAAAGGCCGTGCAAGTTTGTGCGAGTTTGTACCGTCCCGGTGTGTCTGCCAGAGTGAGGCACTGTTTTCTTTCTCTGGAGAGATGCAACGTGAGAAAATTGTAATTATAACCAGGTGGGTGGCCAGTACTTCAGAGCACAATGGATTTTCACAGCCAGTTTGGATCGGCAAAATGTCTTTGTTTTGCAAACCCTCTTGGACTGAATAAAAACTTAAAACGGAGACCAAGCACCATTCCACAGCGGCCAGGAAGAATGAAACTGCGACCAGCAGCCCCGGGGACTGCTCCTGGCCAGCATAAGTGGCTGCAGTGGTTATTTCCGCAGCATCTCTGGGTTTTAGGTTTACTTCTTTCCTTCTGTCAAGGGCAAAGCTGCAAGCGCCCCCACGTACCTCCACACTCCTCTCCTGCCTGCATCGGAGCAGAAGTGCTTTTGCAGGGAAGGTTTCGAGGCCAGAGGTCCTCCCAGTAGATTTCTGGAGGTTTCTTCCTGGCCAGTGCTGATGTATATCCCATCTTTAGGCTGTAGCAGCAGCATGGCTCACCTGGGATGGCTGGCTTCTTGGTCCAGTTCCTGAAAGCAAATATTGAGACCAGAATTGTGTGCAAAGCATTTGTTCAGGAAGTGCTCCCAGGAGAAACAATTAAAGGAACGGGGAAAGAAGCAGAGGGAGGGAAAGAAGCCAGGCCAGGGTGTGAGGCTGGCCAGGGCCCAGCCTCTGCCTGACGCGGAGGCGTTTGTCCCACCTCGCACACTGGCACCCGCATAGGCAATGCCACAACAGTCCTGCTTCCTCTGGGCATGGGGGTGCAAAGCGGCCCGGGGACCCCTGAGCAGGCACAGCCACAAGAGCTCAGTGCGTGAAGCCCTGGGCTCAGCCCCCAGCGCTAAGGAAAAAAAAGAGAAAGAACCACAGAGCACAGAGGCTGAAGATAACAGTGCAGAATGGGGAAAGGGCCGAAGGTGTGCGGGGAGCCTGGCGCGTGTGCAGCGGCAGGACTTGGCCGGAGGCTCTGCAAGAAGCCCCGAGGGTGCTTTGCCCTGATTCAGTGGGCTGTGGTCTAATATGTGATTTCACTTAAGTGGGTTCCCTGGGAGCATACAGGAAAGTGTGACAGGCAGATCCATTAATGCTCCAAGATGAGAAAAATCTAACCTCTGATAGGGATGCGTGTTATACTTGTAGGAACTCGAGATAAGATCTAGGCCATCTGAAGCAGGCTTCTGTACACATCGGGGCCATTTCAGTCCTCACCACCCTATAAATCATTTTCCCACTCACCTATGCTGAATCTGTTGGGAAAGTCTTAGTAAGTCTCAGAGGATCCGCAGACTTTCTTTCCTGTTTGGCCTATGAAGTCTATATCTAGTTGGATAGCAGGGATATTTCAGATCTAATAATGAAAACAATTAATAACTCCTTGGTGATGACAGTGTATCAGACTTTTATTTATTTATTTATTTATTTTTTACCTCAACTTGTGAGAATGGATGTAACAGACTTTTATATGGTGGCACTTTTATGCATCTGTGAACATACATTTCTTTCTTTCTTTTTTTTTTACCGGTACCAGGGATCGAACTCACGACCACGGGCTTGCAAGGCAGGTGCTTATGCTGCTGAGCTAAATCCCCAGCCCCCAGTACATTTCTATTTATGTAGTCAACAGCTTTTCATTTGGATGAAATTAACCGGAATCACAGGGCATGGTGGCACATGCTTGTAATCCCAGCACTTGGAGGCAGAGACAGGAGGATCGCTGCAAGTTTGAGGCCTACATGGGCTGCAAAGTGAATTCAAAGCCAGCCTGCACTGCACAGCTAGACCCTATCCAAAAAAAAAAAAAAAAAAGAATAATAATAATACTGTTGTAAATATCCTTCCACTATATGCTTAAAATGACATATATGACAGTGCTCTAGCCCACAGTGGGACGCACAGGAACATGTCAGCAGCATATAATGAGTAATCAAACCCTTCCCCTCATCATTGCCCATACTCAGGTGAGCCAGGTACTAATCAGGTGAGCAAGGTGAGGGAGAAGACTCTTGGGCGCCACCAAGTGTCCATCCTGGGAAAATCTACTCTGAATGAGTCTAAAAGCATCAGCAGCTACCCAAGTTCTTCCTGCGTTTGAAAACTCGTCTGCTTTTGTAGCATGAAGCTAAAAACAAGGCCATGGCCCAAAAGTGAATAAAATGACTTCAGTAGCTAAGGATATTTTAAAAGATTGTTTTATCGAGGAGCTTTAGTTTTATACCAAAGTTAAAGAGGTAATTACCAAATTAACTCATAGGCAATGATCAAAAAATTCACTGAATGTTTAAATTAAAAATTTAAAGATTATGACAGCAAAGGACCCACTTGCCATATTCCCCCTCAAAATACTTTTTTTGCAAACACACTCATCCCATTGTTCTTGCCACTTTCTGAAGCAGTTCTGAAAGTCCTGTTTCTTGAGTGTCTTTTCATGGCTGCCTTGTGTCCTGAATGGAGTAAAAACATTTATGGTGATTTCTATCACATAAAATGATCACACTGTGTCCTCGCCCACCTTACTCATCAGCTCTGGCACTGTGGAACTTCTGGCTCTTCCTGCAAATCAAAATGACCATGAAAGGTCAGCGTTTCGAATCAGTGCAGGCCACGGAGCAGCCACACCAGTACAACTAAAGACAAGAAAGAGAGGTTCCAGAACTGCTTTGGAACATGGCAAGAACGATGGGATTCGCGTATCTGAAAAAAGGGTAACTGTTTGAGGTGAAGGAGAGGGTTTTGTTTGTTCTTTTGGTCTTTTTTGTTTTTATCGGTACCAGGGATTGAACTCACGACCGCCTGCTTTCAAGGCAGGCACTTATGCCGCTGAGCTAAACCCCCAGCCCCTAGGGAGAGGGTTTTAAGGGGAGGTTAGCAGAAATGTATAACACATTTTTTGAAAATTAACTACTCGCTGTCTTTTTCAATCGCCCCGTGTGTACCCCTTGCCCCCCAATGCCCACCTCCTCCATCGTCACCACCCTCCACCACAGTGCAGCCCTCCACAACATCACCCCCCCCCAAGTCCAACTTCACACTGAGATTCACTCTCTGGAGTGGGATGTAGCTCAGCGGTACAGCGCTTACCTGGCATCGTGTGGGAAACCCTGGTTCAACCCCCAGTTCTGGAGCAGGGGGAGAAAGAATTAAGAAGAAGGGAAAAAACCTCTTTTAGCACTGTACAGTCTGTGGACAAATATGCACAACATATGATCACCACAAGTATTTTCCCTACCCTAAAAATCCTCTGTCCTCTGCCTGCTCCTTCCTCCTCCCTGCTAGGAAACACTGATCTCCAGAGTTTTGCCTTCTCCAAACTGTCATATAATTGCAATTGTACAATACTCAGCTTTTACAGATTGGCTTCTTTCACTTAGAAATATGCCTTTATGTTTCCTCCATGCTTTTCATGGCTTGAGAGTTTATTCCCCTAGCACTCAACACTATCTCACCTGCTGGGTGGACTGCAGCTTTTTTATCCACTCACCTATGGAAGGACATCTTGGTGCCTCGTAAGCTTTGTCAATTTAGAATAAAGCTGTTATAAATACCCAGGTGTCAGTTTGTTTGTTTCTCTGTTGCAGGTTTCTTATATGGACATAAGTGTTCAACTCCTTTGGATAAATACCGAGGAATCCCATTGCTCGGTTTTATGGTAGGAGTGTGTTTGGTTTCATAGGAGACTGCTGAACAGTCTTCCAGAATAACGATGCCATTTTGCATTCCCAGCGGCAATGAATGAGAGTCCCTGTTGCTTAACATCCTTGCTGGCATTGGGAGTTGTCACTGGATCTTTTTTGTGTTTTGTTTTGAGATGGGGTCTCACTATGTTTTCTAAGCTGCTCTTGAGCTCACTATGTAGCCTAGGCTCACCTCGAGCTTTCAGCAATCCTCCTGCCTCAGCTTTCTAAGTGCTGGGATTCCAGGTGTGCACCACCGCACCTGCCAAATAGTCTGAATCCTGGAGGTTCTAATCGGTGTGGAGTGGGGTCTCATTATTATTTAATTAGCATCCCTCTTATGGCATAGAATGTGGACCACATTTCCCTGTGTTTCCTTGCCATGTCTGTCAAGATCTTCAAGCCATTTTTAATCAGATTTTTTTTTTTGTACCAGGGATCAAACTCACAACTGCACGCTTGCCAGGCAGGCACTTACACCACTGAGCTAAATCCCCAGATTGTTTTCTTATTGTTGGTTTTAAGAGCTCTTTGTATATTATGAATGAGAATCCATTTTGAGATATGTTTTTTTGCAAATATTTTATTCCAGACTGTGGCTTGTCTTTCCATTCTCTCAAGAGTGTCTTTCATGGAGTATATTTTTTTAAAAATTTATTTTAGGGAGAAAAAAACTCCACAAAATTTCAAAACAAGATAATAGGAGAGTAACAATGATTAATACATTACATACTATTATCTTTAAATTAGTTACTCAGACTTCAAGATGCAGGCATTTAATTTTCATGGAGTAGATTTTTTTTTTTTTAAAGCCATGTTGCCCTGAAAGAGAAAAACTGTACAAAAGAGCTTTTTTTTTTAAACTTCGTCCTTTTGAAACTGCCTGGCTCTGTAACTGCTTCATGGCTTTGTGATTACTTTTCTGACCCCTGTAACCCATGAGTGAACATGCAAGACGCCAGATTCTACCACTGCACCAAGCTTCACAAACTGATGATCATCCATCTACTCTTGTAACCAATGATCTCTCACCTGCAAGCTGGTCACAAGAACTGCCAGGCTGCTGTGTCTCGCCTTTGTACCTTTTGCTCGTGCATTATATAAAAGCCCTAAACCACTAGAGATCAGGGCCTGATACTCTGGGAATGATCCGGATCCGTGCCTGAAAATGTAAATAAATCTGCTTCCAAATTCTGGATGTTGTTTTGGTGTTTCTGTTTACCTTTGCAATCCAGGCTGGTCTTGGACTCCTGAAGTCAAGAGATCCTCCCACCTCAGCCTCCCAACTAGCTGGAACAAGCAGGTACAAGCAGAGCAGAAAGGCTTAACTTTATCAAAGTCCACCTAGTTAATTCTTTCATAGATCATGCCTGTGGTGTTATTTCTAAGAAGTCCTCAAACCCATGCCACAATATTTTCATACGGACCATCACAAGGCTTCCAAAGAACATACTTGTTAACCACAGATAACTCACTAATCCAAAGACATGTGGGGATCTATTTCTTCTCACTGCTTTTCCATAAATATTAACGATCCAGACATTATAGCTGGAATCAATGAAAATATTGACAGATGTATTGGAAGGGCACATGTGTCAATGAAAGCAGTCCATTCCCCAACCGCATGGCCTGTCAGATGACACAGAGGCGCGTCCTGCTGCCTCACACCCTGAAACCACACCCAGGCCCTGCTGCACAGTGGCAGTAGGGACCCCAGAGACCACTGGGGGTCCTGCCAGGTAGAGGAGCTGAATTTTACTTTTCAGGAGGGCTGGACTGATGGGCAACACTCCTGAGAGGGGAGCCAGGAAGAAAACAGAAGGGCCCTCCTCCAGGATGGGTGTCCCCGTCATGGGACGCAGGCTGGTGGCATGTCAGATGTCACCAGCATGAGGACAGTTCCAACAGGCAGTGGGGGGCTGCTCCATTTGCCCGGCCAAGGTAATTGTTCTTAATGGATAGGGAGGGAAAAGGGGTTCAAGTGAGGGGAGGGAAGGGGAAAAAAGAGGAATCAAGTTATATCACGTACAGGTACAAATTGTCTATGATGAGTGTGATTCTTGTGAATATCTAAAATGTACCAATAAAATCTGATTGGGGGAAAATAATAAATAAATAAAACTTGAGGCAAAAATTTGTTTTTAATGGTAGAGAGAGTAAGGTGGTTACTGTAACCAGGGCTACATAAGGCGGGGCTGCCAACCAACGACTGCTTAAGAGAAGAAAAAGCCTTTTAGGTGTGAAGGGCGAGGTAGCTATTTAATGTTGTTAGCTTGAGGCAGCTGTAATAAAGGTTTGGGTTTTGAAGCGCACTTTAATGTTTACTGTCGGTGAAGGCCAGGCCTGTTTAAGAAGGTATTTGTGAACGCCTGTGAGGCTGGGTCTTCAGGATAGCAGCTCCTCTACAGAAAGTGAGTGTCTGCCTTGGCTGAGGCAGCGGGTCTAAGTAGTGGCTGAGGACAGGAGTAATTATAATTCATTCAGCAGCTTTGTGGCCGTTAAGAACACAGAAGAAAGGGAGGTTAGGAAACCTCGTTTGAGGCCTTTTTATGAGGGGGAGACCCACAAAAGGCTGCTGACATATTAGATGAGAACACAGTTTACAGGAAATGTCATTTAACTCATTTTTAAGAATTAAGAAGTACACGCACTCTAGGCTGAAAGTGCAGATTAAACACACACTTCTTTGGTTCATTCCCTCCAAAGCTCTGCAAGACTTCGGTAAACGGATTTGTAAAAATTGATAATAAATCACCAAAGATGAGGCAAACAGGAAGGGCAGCGGCAACAATTTTGTGTGGAACTAATTGCATTAGCAAAAACAAGAAGGGACAGTTCTGGGGCCAGCCGTGGACAGAGTTCTCCAGAGAAAGAGGACTGAGAGTGAAGCTGGGTGTGGTGGCACACGCCTATCATCTCTGCGCTCTAGGGGGTTGAAGCAGGGAGATCAGAAGTCTGAACCCAGCGGGGGCAATTTAGGGACACTCTTAATGTTTACTTATTTACGGTCTTTTTAAGACAGTGTCACTATATACTTCAGGCTGACCTTGAACTCTCTGTGTAGCGCAGGCTGGCCTCTAGTTCACAGTGATCTTCCTGCTTCAGTTTCCCGAGTGCTGGGATTGCAGGTGTGTGCTACCATGCCTGGCTTTAAGGGAGACTATGTCCCAGAATTAAAAAGGGCTGGGGATGTAGCCCAGTGGGAAGGTCCAGTACCACCCCCCCAATACAAAATCTCAAAATAGAGAGATTTTATTTTAAAAATTGGCTCACACACAATAACTAGGTTGGTAAACCAAAGCCTATAATTAGCCCGTGGAAGACGAGACCTAGTGTTCTAATTTGAAGGCATAAGACAGGAAGAGCCAACAGCACATTATAGGCAGACAAGTGAGAAGACAGCAGGCGGCTAGAGAGGCACGTGGCTAGAGAGGTCCACGGCAGAGTCAGGCTGGCCAGGGTGTGGTCAGATAAACAGGAGTTAATGAGAACCAGGAGGACCAGGAAGTCCAGGGATGTGCCAGCAAGGTAACAGCGAGGTGACAGATGCCCACTATGACAGCTCCTGCTCCTCCCTATCTGGAAAATGTTTTTTCCCTTCTCACTTTGTCCTTTTAACAATCCACTTGAATAGAATAGAGGCCAACAGGCCCCTGCAGATGTGTGCTTACTGTATATCTTGACTCCTCACGGGCCTGTTTCTAGGTAAAGTAAGCCGGTTGGAGTCTTACAAGTTGACATTAACTCAGAGTGATCCGAGCCCTGGTCATTTTTGGGTATAATAGCTAGAGAAAGAGTCCTGTGGCTGCCCACATTTGGGTACCCTCCCAACTATTGGGAGCTATTTCTCTCTTAATAAACACGCCTCCTTTCTTTCTTTTGGTTCTAGTGGGCTGCGCCCCTCTCACATTATTGGGGTTGTTCTGTGTCCCCAGACCCTACACTGAAGTGCTGCCCACCCTGGTGTGGGATGGCATCTTTCACGTCCAGATCAGTGCCAGTGTGAGAAGAGACAGGAGAGGGCTCTTTCCCTCCCCCACCACCTGAGACTCAGAGAGGAGTCTCCGGCCAGCAAGAGGCTCCTTGACCTTGAACTTCTCAACCTCCACAGCTATGAGAAGTACATTTCTGTTGCTTACGGTGTCCAGTGAATGACGTGTTGGAAGACAGAGGCTAACCCACTTCACTCGCCTCTACTGATTTAAATGCTAGTCTCATCCAAAACACTTTCACAGAAATATCCAGAGTGATGCTTTATCGAGTCTCCAGGCATGCCTGGGCCCAGGAAAGTTGACACATAACATCATCTGGTGTCTTAAAAAGAGACAGAAACAGATGAGATCAGGTATTTCTAGAGCTGCAGTGAAGAGCAGGTCCAAAATGAGGAGGATTAGGTAGATGTGATGAGATCCTGAGGTCCTCTGTGGTTCCCCTTCTGCTAAGAAGATTCCAGTCCCTTGAAATGGAAATAGAGCCGAGGACTGAGGATCCGAGGCTTATAGCTGAGGTGATGGTATTGTTCCAAAAATAAGAAATTAAGTGACAGTTCGTCTTAGTCCGTTTTGTGTTGCTACAATAGAATGCCACAGTTAGGCAGGCAGGCACGCCTGTCGTTCCAGCACTCAGGAGGCTGAGGCAGGAGAATGAGCTTGAGCTTGCCTGGACTACATAGTGAATTCAAGGTCAGCCTGAACTATACAGAGAGAACTTGTCTCCAAAAAAGAAAACGAAATACCACAAAACAAATAATAAATAGACTGTTTATAAAGAACAGAGATGCACTGCTTACAGCTCTGGTGGCTGGGCAGTCCAAGGCCAAGGGGCCTGCAGCTGGCGAGGCCCTTCATGCTACTTTATCCTGTGACATGTGGCGGAAGCACAAGAGAGAGCAAGAGGTAGCCAGGTTCACTTTCAAGACAGACCCGCTGTCAGGTAAGAACTCTCGGTCCACACAAGCAGGGGCACCCCCAGCAGCAGTGTAAGGAGGAGGGTTCTGTGCCCCAACCTCACGGAGCACGCAGGGCTGACTGTGTGAGTCTGCGGGTTATTCTGCCGCACTTCTGCTTCCTGGTTCTCACATATGAAGCCTGTCCCTGCTGTCAATCCGTGGCGTCTCCATTCTCTTCTGTCCAATGAAGGCTGCCCATTCATGGAGTGCGAAGAAAGACATCTTGACAAAACCAAATTGTCAGCAAATCAGGATGGAGCACCACTGCCCTTTAGGATATAGACAGCAGCCCTCCAAGGCTGATGGGACAAGCTGGGGAGGTCACTGCTTACCGCTGAGACCAGTGAGACCACCAAGAGCTGGCCAGGTAAATGCCCAGAGTTTGGGGAAAGGGGAAAATGGTCCTGGACCAAGAAAAGAAAAGAAAAGGATCAAAAAGGAAAAGAAAACTTTTACCTACCCAGAGATATTAATCTACTCTAAAAGTCTTTAAGAGGAAAGTGTGAGGAGGCAAAGGGTTAGGTTGCAGATAGAGGCTTCTGCAAGGATCTAATTCCTTGCAGAGGATGCAAGGATGTGGTGGCAGGCTCTCCCCCACTCTTTTCCTCTTAGTGGAAAGCCAAAAACTAAGGTCCATGGTGTCAGTCTACTAAAAGAGGAAGGACAAACGGGTGGGTGGAGGGGTGTAGAGAAAAAGAAACCAACCCTAGACAGAGGAGGAGAAAATAAAAGGGAATAAAATGTTAGATAAATACAGGAGTATATATACATGTATGTTTTTGTTATTGTTAAATAAAAATGACAGGACCCCGTTGTTTTGGACTAGGGTCATGCACTGGGCCCAGGAGACAAACCTAAAAATAAAAATGGAGTCATTGAGAACAAAGTCCATGTCTGACCTTCCTAGAAACTGAGAGAGGAGAGAGGAAAGAGGAGAGAGACAACCAAATTTCCTCAATAGGCAAGTTTTAATTGGCTGATAATGAAGTTCCCTCTGCTTTAATCTTTACACCCTTTACACATTACAAAAATAACCTAAAGTAATATGATATTAACTAACAAGTTTTCTAGTTTGTCCTCAGCCTCTGCCTTATACAGAGATTTGAGAGAACCAGTTGAGAGCTGGGTATAGTGATGCCCATCTGTAAGCCCAGCACTTAGGAGGCTGAAGCAGGAGAATCCCCTGGAGTTCAAGACCAGCCTAAACTACACAAGACCCTGTCTCAAAAATAAAAAACAAAAAATACAAACAAAACAAAACAAACAAACAAGCAAACCCCAACCAATTCACTTCTGTTTTTTTGCCAGTGTCTTCAGCCCTTTCCTGTCTATGAAGCCATCTTTCTACAACACCCATTCTAGTTTATGGAATGAAGTGTTAACAGCTGGATTCTAAAGTCAAAAATAAAGCCAATTAAGATAATTAAACTGAATTCTACGCCTGGCTTTTCAGTACTTTTTAAAAATGTTTGTGCAGCAGCAGCCAAAGCCTACTCATTTAGTATGAATACAATATTCAGAAAGTGTTTATTATCTATAGTTTTCAGGTTGTGCATCAGCTCTCCAGATTTAGTCACTGGACATACCTGCTATTTTTGTATCCTCTCACCTACAGCTCTCTCCACGCTAATGGTTTTCTCTATTTTTGTGTATTTGAGGTGCTTTGAATTTTTTTAGATTTCGCGTAAAAGATCATTTAAGATTTTTCTGTGACTGGTTTGCTTCCTTTAGTATAACATTCTCCAGGCTCACCCATGTTGTGACAAATTGGCCAGATCGTGTTCTTTTTTAGGGCCGATATTCTACTATTTTTTGTTATAATTTTCTTCATTCATTCATGCCTTATCTGACACTTAGCTTGTTTTCTAAACTTGGCTAATGTGAATAACACTGCAGCGAACACGGGAGTACAGATATTTTTAGGAGGTGATTTCATTTCCTTTGGTAGGGGTATTGCTGGGTCACAGGATAGTTATATTTTTAATTTATTTAGAAACCACTAGATAGAATTTATTTAGAAACTAGTTCCCATAATGGCTGCATCAATTTACATGCCCTCGGTTTTTCTTAAAAGAGAGAAGACAAGGTGGGAAGAAATAGAGGACAAAAGATCTCCCGGTATGACAGGCTCCGCATTGTGGATGGGGGACAGTCAGATGCAATTTAAGCACCCCACTCAGGAACTTCAGTATCCCTTGAAGCATCTGAGATTTCATCCCACTTCCCCACCAATGACAATTTACGGTTGCTTGCGCAAGAATAAGGGTAGGGCAGAGGCCAGCGTTACCAAAGGGGACCTAAAGACCTATTCACTAAATCCTCAGGGCTAGACGATCAGAATCTAAAGACCCAGCGACTTGGCCTATCCTGCGAGAAAAGTGAAGTCTGAGCTCCTGCCAATAACACCACGGTCCTAGTTCCTGATTCAGTTAAATCCCTTACAGACAGAGAAACATAAAAACAAAGGACTCCGCCAGCACCGGAAATCAGCTAATACCACATTCACCTGACCTGCCCTTAGGGACTCCGATTGGGCTTTGGGAATACGTGGCCCGCCCGACGCCATACGTCGGCCCCGCCCTGGGCGGGGAGAAATGAAAGGGGCTATGGTATTGGACATCTGCCTCTGGATGCAGCCAATCACGATTTCCCGCTCGGCGGCGCGAAGTGAGCTGGAGAGCGCTCTGGGGACGTGGTGTCTACGCGCGGAGTTTGGATTTTGGTTCCGCCCGGCCCAAGTCGGCGAGAGAGGTGAGTGCGGCGCGCCTTAGACCGCGAACTGCCAGTTGTGGCCCAGGTCTTTTGTTGGCATCCCGTCCCTGAGCTGGAGGTCTCGAGGGTGCCCTGGTTCGCGCTGGCGGCCTGGGCCTTCTGAGTGCTCTCGGTACCCAGGGCCTCAGGACTTGGCCGCGGGTGGTCGTAGGCCAGACTCCGGCGCCGCCCTGCTAACCTTCTGAGCGAGAACCAGGACCCCCGCCCTCCTGTCACCCAGTGTATCGCTGGTGTAAAGTACGCTGTCGTCTGTCACGTGGGAGAGATGGTTTCTGCTTACAGCTTTGCTGGGATTAAATACTTGCAATAAATGGCTTCAAAGAGTGCGAAATACGGAGTAAGGGTTCTGTTACCCAGAGAAGTGGTAAAATCGCCCTCTTTTTATATATGGAGGGTCTGAAGCACAAAGAGGGCTCACTGCTGAAAGACCAATTGGGGTTTATTTTTACTTTCGTTATTATTGTTGTTATTTTGTATCGGGTATTGAACTCTTGACCTCGCACTTGCCAGGCAGGCGCTTATGGTCCAGTTGATGATTAAATGTGGGAGAAAGGATCTGAACTAACAGCCGCCTGACTCCAAAGCAGCTCGCGTAACATCAGGCTTTCTTCGGGCTCTTTCAAGTTACAAGAGATGGAGCACTAATGGTGTGAGGTGGAGTGGGTTCCATGCCACCAGTGTAAGTCAATAGCACCTGTGTGCCGCGGTCTAGATGAAGGGGCAGGAACGGTGAGAGAGCAGAAGTCTAGGAAATAGTAAGTAGATTCAGCTGAGCCAGCATTTTGTAAGCTGAGTTGCTCCATTCACAGAAAGTAATTTATAGGATTTTAGTAGGGAATGAACTTCCCAGGTCTTGAATCACTTCCAGCTCCAGTCACCATGGTGGCCACTTTCTACATATAATTTGCAACCTTAGGGATAACCCTGAGAGGTAGCTATTGTCTTATTTTACTGATGAGGAAGCTAAGAGTTATTTAGGGCTGGAGATGTAGTTAAGTGGTAGCAGACTTGCCTGGCATACATGAAATCCTGAGTTTGAACTTTAGCACTATAAAAACAAAAAAACTGATAGTCATAGTGGTAGATATGTAAGAAGAGAACAAAATGTAGCTGGCCATGGTGGTGCACTCAGGCTGAGGCAGGAGGATTGCTGTGAGTTCAAGGCCAGTCTGAAAACATAGCAAGACCCTATCTCAAAACACCAAAAAAAAAAAAAAAAAAAAAAAAAAAAAAAAGGAAAGAGAGATAACAGTATGGGGGGAAGTATGAGTATGTAGATTAGTCAGTGTTACCTGTGGGAGGAAGAGGGGAGAGACTAATGGGAGTGAGATTTTAAAATATATCTGAAATGTTTCGTTGCCTTTGAAAGAAAAATGGGACATAATTTAACTTCTTAAATTTGGCTGGTGAGTACATGGGTCTCAGTCTATCTTCTATACTTTTCTGTATTTTTAGCTTTTTTTTTCCTTAAAGAAGGAAAAGATAAAGAGGTCAAAGGTAGCTGTAAAATTACTTTGGGAACTTAATGGTAAAAGCCTCTGAGATCTCTGTTACCTGTAGGATTAAATCTAAATCCCTTAGTGCTACGGGAAAGTGACTCAGCCTATTAGAGGTCAGATGTGCTGAGTTCATTCATATCTCTCATTAACCAAAGAGTGGATACAAGGACCAAGGAGATTAACAATAGGAAAAGATTATTGAGAGAAAGCTACTGAGAGACGAGAGATCCTGAAAGTGAGTTGCTGCTGAGGCTTTGTCCATGGGTAATTTATACACCAAATCACAACCTGAGTAGCTACGGGTCAAACTACAATCAAGGTATAGGACTACAAGTATAGTAGTTTAATATCCAATGGGAAGAAGCGCGTCATGTAGCAAGGACGTGCGGTGGGCATTGTTAACATCAGCTTATCTTCCACTTCTAATGTAGAAAGAACAAAGGCATTTTGGGAGAACAGAAAGGAATATGGGTTACCCACCTAGGCATCAGACACCTTAGGTAGGCTCAGTGGGCCAGGTGGTGCCAATTCCAGGCTGCTGTCGTTCTCTAAGGAGGCGGCAGGCCTTCCCCTCCATCTCCACCCAGTTTGCATGTGTGCCAAGTCCTGTGCTGACTCCCTCCCTGCCTGCCTGTTAATTTCTAGCTTAGCTGACTATACTGTGGAATCATGAGGCCTTTGAGTACCTGTTGCCCTAACCACACACCTACTCCTCTACCTTAGTCTCTGTCCAGATAGTGCAGACTACTCTTCACAGGCCCTATCCTGCCTCGAAAGTTCCTCTCCAATTCTGTGTTTTTGTAAAGCTTCTCTAACAGTTTTCTTGTTTTTTTTTTCCTTCATCTGGGAGCTTATCAGACTTTTAAGAAAACATTTTATGTCAGACTTATCCCATTGCATTGTAATTATGTGTTGGTGTGTCTATTTCCCGCTAGTTAGGAAGCAGTAATTATCTCTCATCTTTGCACTCTACCATGCTGCCTGGCGCAGACTGGTTATAGGGGTAAATATTAGCCGAATGAAAAATAGAAATCAAAGTCAGAAAGTACTAGTTCTTGGACTTACAATGTAAGGACTCATTTCCTACAATAGAAAGGAACTATTGAGTTTAATTTGTTCAAAAATTCCTGTATCTTATTGAAACATTCTCACTGGGCTACACAGACTTTGTCTCAAAAATCCAAATAATAGCTGGACGTGGTGGTACATGTCTTAATCCCAACATTTAGGAACCTGAAGCAGGAGAATCCTTGAAAGTTCTAGGTCAGCCTGGGCTACATAGTGAATTCAGGGCCATCCTGAATTACAGAGCAGAAGGGTGTCTTAAAAACAAACAGGGCCGGGGGGTTAAGCTCAGTGGCACAAGAGCTTGCATGGCAAGCACAAGGTCATAAATTCATTCCCTGGTACCAAAAAAACAAAACAAAATAGAACATATCCAGATGTGGTGGCATATAGCTGTAGGCCCAGGACTCTGGGAGGCTGAAGCAGAAATATCACAGGTGTGAGCACAGTCTGAGCAACTTAGTGAGATGGTCATAAATATAAACTAAAAGAGAACTGAGAATGTAGCTCAGGGTGAAAACTCTTGAGTTCAATTCTCAATACTGCCAAAAAAGAAAAATCTAGAAATGTCTCCTTTATAACCTTTTCCTCACAATGGACTGTTCTCTGCCTTTGGGGATAATAATCTTCTTGTCTTCATGGTGTACTTTCTTCTGTGTATCCATGAACAATATAACTTAGTTTTTCTTGGTTTCAGACTCTGTAAAAGTGATGATATTGCATGTATTTTAGTACATCTGCCTTGTTTGGTTTAACATCTTATTTATGAGATTCTTCTATATTACAGATACTGATTTTTTAATTTTTAAATATTTTTTATAATTTTAAAATGAATTTTACTAATGCGCTTATTTTACTGCTGTAAGACATTCCATTATGTAATTATGCCACAGTTAGCAATTCTGAATTTTTAATTTTATTGTGGTAAGAACACTTAGCATCAGATCTACTCTTTAAATAGATTTTGAACGATTCAATATAAGCACAGTGTTGCACTGCTGATCTCAAGCACTTTCTCACCCTGCATTGCTGACCCTTGTCAGTGTGCCCCAAACCTCACCTGTGAGCGTTCAGCCACCATCCCTGAGTCTGACTTGTTTAGATACCTTGTAGAAGTGGAATCCAGTATTTGTCCTTCTGTATGCTATATTTCTCTTAGGAAAGTCTTCAGGGAAATAATTTAAACTGTTAACATTTTCTGTTATATTGTATTTCTGTAACAGGATCTGTCTCTAGAAAGCAAAGGGAGAACTTTCCCCACAATATTTTGTCATCCAGGTTCCATCGCCAAGAAAGTGTTGTCCAGACTGCCTGTGTATAGTTTTTCAAGATGAAGCTCCACACTTGGCTTGCTTTTAAGTATGTGTGGAATGTTACGATAGGGTATGGTAGTGGTGGTCAGACATAGAAATGGTGGGAGACAAAAATGTGATATAAACACAGTATTTTAATTTAAAAACTTCACAATCCCAGCATTTGGGAGATTGAGGCAAGAGGATTGCTGTGAGTTTGAGGCCAGCTTGGACTATATAGTAAGATCTTGTCTCCAAAAAACTAGAGACTGAAAAATAAAATAACATAAATATCTTCAAAGCTGGTCATGGTGGTACATACCTTTGATCCCGGCAGTCTTGGAGGATGGGCAGGAGGATCACAAGCTTGGGACTAGCCTGGGAAACTTAGTGATTTAGACCCTGTCTCAACAAAACAAAACAAAACCTTAAAAGACTATCAATTAAACTCAGCGTGAGGGCTTGGGATTCGATTCCTCATACTGAAGAAAGAAAATCTTCAGTGTTCATCTGTGTTGTCTCATGTTGTAGGATTTCCATCTTTTTTTCTTTTTTTTTTTTTAATCGGTACCGGGGATTGAACTCACAACCGCCTGCTTGCAAGGCAGGTGCTTATGCCGCTGAGCTAAATCCCCAGCTCCAGATTTCCATCTTTTTAAAGGCTAATGTTGTATGTGTATACCAATGTAAAGGAAAACTTGTTATCTATACCCATGTAATAATTCATTCCTGTCATAGCAATTCCACTTTCTGAATACTAGTGGGCTTTTTCCTCATAAATGACTGCCTTCTAATGACTATGTGTCCTATAGCTTAGCTCAGGTCCAGCACTGTGCAAGACCCCAGTATGCCAAGGACTCAGTCCCACAACTGTGGTTCCCAGCATCCTTTGCTTTTGCTTCAGAGTCCTGGCCCAAGCAGAGAATCTCCACAGTACCCACAACTTCTGTCCAACTTGGCTGCAAAGTTGAGATTCTCACAAACTCCTTCCATATTGGCTTCAGTAATTTGCTAGAAAATCTCATAGAAATCAAGGAAAACAGTTTGCTTACTAGATTTTCATTAGAAAAAGAATGGGGTGGGCTGGGGATTTAGCTTAGTGGTGTATGCGCCTGCCTGGCAAGCACAAGGTCCTGAGTTCGATCCCTGGTACCGCAAAAAAAAAAAAAAAAAAAAAAGAAAGAAAGAAAGAAAAAAAGAGTAGGGAGCTGCATTTTCCTGGTGAGTGCACTGTGTCAGGGTCAGAACATCCAGGTTTCAGTAGGTGCCTCCTGATGTCCTTTTCCACACTCATCAGGAAAGCTGCTGTCTAAATCTTAACCTATAGCCGCTGTGCTGAGTCCCATGAGTCCCAACATGGTTGGATGTGAGAATGGTCTGTTTTATTTTGAAAATCTCTTGGAGGTTATGAAGTTACTTTTCTTTATTATTTTCTAGAAGCTTTATTATTTTTCTCTTTTACATTTAGATGTGCATTTTGAAGGGTTTCTGCTATATAAAATTCACCAGGTTATGGCAGTGGCCCAGCACACCAAAGGAGCCAGAGATAACAGCGTATCCATTTCCTCTTTCTTTTCCCTTCGGCCCAAAACAAACATCCTCCTTCCTTTCGCACGCATGTGCACCACCACTCCCCCAATCTGCTGCTAATATGTTTGTCTCCGTTTCTTTGTCCCCCACTCCTCACCACTCTTCTTCCCATTCCTCTCCTGTTCTGCCTTCGCCATACTCTGCCAGCACACCACACCAGATCTCGCTCCTCCCACCCACTGCCATCTTGTGCCCCTCCCATCTGCCACCATCTTGCCCCTTCCAAACATCAC